CAACACGGAAATATCAAAACTGTACATTTTTGATTAACCATATTTTCACGAGCCTGATTATCTTAGCTTTACTGGTGGCGCGTGAAATAGCAAGCTGACGTTCCTATCATCACCCTGTTACAGCTTTTCTAAAGCATCTGCAGAAGATTATCACTGTAGAAACAGCGCCATTGACAACTTATTGACGGCAGCCGCTTTCTAGAGTCCTGCTTCGTTCTACTCCCAAATAGCTTCGCATTGGAATGACTCACAGAATCGTCTGAACATGCCGCAACGGAGGCCAGCAAGAACAAACAAAAAATCAAACCTCATAGGAGCGGATATTGAGTTTCTACGAAATGATTGCGTCTAGATTCATTTACACGTTTTATCATATTTAGAAAGCGTGTGTAGGAAATTCCATTATACGTTATAACTGTGTATAAACACAGGTTAATTAATATGGCTTCCGCGCGGAAAGAGGACGGTCTGCAAATATTTGGCACTAGTTGTGTCCCGAATAAGTGAAGCAGCACAACAGTACTCGCTCTCAAACAATATTGCAGTTTGTTAACAATCTGCTCTCTTACAAAAATCAACTTCACTTGCAAAAAGCAGGCTTTCAATCTCTAATGGTGCTAAATTTTAACTTGCAGATTAAATTAATTAACAGTCTAAAGTTTTTGCTAGAGTAGTTGATCCACGGCACCTCATCTAGTCCATTGACTGTGTCGACTCCAACTGTGGCTTTAAACCCACAGACATATTTAAAGTCTGACAGCCAACATGCAATTTTAATCAATTGTTTGTAAGGGGATTGAGACCCACTAAGTCAAGGTTAAGAATACGTAGACAGACAGCTAGCTGCTGGCCTATCTTAAATGCATATATACGCGTAAGAAGGTTTTGCTGCAAAGCCTTCGTCCAGAGCGAAGATGCATCTTTCGTTAGTGATAGGGCCTCACTTGCGATTCGCAGAGACAGTCTTCATGCACCTTTAGCTTTCTCACATTAATATTCTGAATACATGTGTGGGTAAACATATTTAGCAAAGTTTTAACCGCCGCGAACTACGAACTATAAAACAACGGCTGCAAGGAACTTCCTATTACTAAGATGATTTTGTCGTTGTCGTTTACATTTATTGAGCAACTATCATTGATTTCAAACTGTTCGTTAATATTTTAAATAAATAAATAAATAAATATATATATACATGTATGTATATTGCATGACTTACATTGTATTTCAAATGACAATGTTTAGTGTTTGCTGTACTAACATATACATTCAATATAAAGTTTTTATACTGTGTGGGTAAACGACGACTAGATGTTACAATTATCGTTAAATAAGACTTCGTCACTGGCTCTACAAATATGCATTGCATTGGTATTGTCGCGGCCGATATCTGACTTTCAAGCATTTCAACATAAGCGATATATCTGACGTTTCTTAATATATCCAATATCTCACATGGAACATCTATGCTAATTATGGGCACAGCACCGTTGCCGTCCATATGATCCTATCCGTCCACTATTGCAACCACCTTTTGGTTGTCGGCTCGGTACAATTATTTCAAGCATTCCAATTTGTTCGTCTTGTCTGTCAAGCCAGCTGCTATCGTCCCCCAACATTCTTCCCGATGCTCTCCAGTCTCAGTTATTTGCTGTTTCCTTTATTAGGACATTGCTACTCTGACCCTCACGCTACAGCCATATTCTCAGTCTCCCGCTTTTACCGAATTCCCCATCGCTTCAAGCCTATTCAATGCCATGCATTATAATCTTCGTCTAAAACTCCATTCTTTCCTCTTCACCTCTGCTGTCTTCCTTATTTAACCCATCTTCGTAGTATCCCTGATTCCAACACGCTCACCAACCTGCATCGATTTTCTCATTCCCTTGTCTCCGAAGCATCTTCGCCACTCAGCACGCAGGGAGAATGAGCAGCGTGCACAGCCAAAACGAGCCACTCATTAAACGTGTATGTATGTGTGTTGATCCTTATCGCACTAAAAGCCATACCATGCGCCTGTGACAGTTACGCCGAGCATTTAGTGTTCAGAAGTCTACGTCTGTGTGGGCCAGTCACACAAGTACCGGGCGAATCGTCGGATTAAGTGCGCGGCTGACTCTTCATCATTCTCGCCATCATTGTCTATAGATATCGATCGCCGCACACGAGCAGTAGGTATTTCACTAGCTATTTGTCCGTGGTGCTACACGTACTCATGTCCCGAGAGCGATATACAAGCGGTTTATAGGTGATTAAAAACTTGAGATACTAAGTTAGTAAGCGCCTTTTAAAATACGGGCTGATGATAACTGGCAGATCTATTAATTAAGATGGAAGGAAATCAACGAAATCAAAC